CACCCGCCTTTCCCTCCGCTTCCCTGCTCAGGAGTGCTTCAGCGCCAACGGCATCACCGGCCGCCGCCTCATCCTCGCCGACTGCTCCAACCTGCCCGCCATGGGCGTCACGGACTTCGGCCACATGCAGGTGCGGCCGGCTGCGGGTCCCGGAGCTCCCTCCTCAGCCCCTCGGAGCCCAGCTCTGACCCTTTGTGCTTACAAGCAGCTAGGCTGCAGCCTGGCCGCCCAGGCAGATTGCTTATTTGGAGGGTGAGCCTGAAGCTGAACAACCAAATTTGTTCAGCCAAACAGTTGTGTTTCTTGAGTCTTTTCAGGTATAAATCTTCAGCCGTCTGGAAAGCGCAAGCTTCCCCTCTGGGACACCCTAAGTGTATCAGAAGTGCTTAGCCTTTCTTTAAGCCCATGTTGCTCCTCTTGCCCCATGAAATTGCTTAGCAAGATAACGCCTTTCTTAAGACATCCCTCAGAATTCCTTTTCAGTAATTTTCCACTTACTGATTTGTAGAACTTCTAAAAATCTGCTCACATTTAACCTGCAGCAATTGAGCCATCTCAAGCAGCAGAAGGGCAACTCATTATTACTTCCTTGTTTTACACTTTGCTGAACACAAACAGCATCTCTGTCTCTTCCTCATTTTATAAACATGTGATTGGCTCCTCATTTTTCAACCAACATCTTGTCTTTAAAAAACACTGACAGTTAAGCTAACTAGACTGAAGTTTGGGACTACAGTCTGGCCTTCTGAAGGTTCAGAAAACAAGCAAGTTGACTGAAATTTCATTACCCTCCTTCCCCTCCCTAACGGAAACCACAGAGGGACTCGGGGCTGCATTTACAGAGCCAAATCATTTGTTTCGCATCATGATTTAAAGTTGCCTTCCTCAGATGACGCAAGGCAGAAGTTCAAATAAGCAGGAAGAGAGAAATATCTTTATGCTCCAATGACTAGAGTATGAATGCTGTTTGTTTTATTCTAAAACACTGAAAAGCAATTCCACCACAGTTCTGTCTGGCTGCACAGTCTTAACTGTTTTTTTGAAATGAAATATGGCACCAAAAACATTGACTAGTGCCATGACTTTGCCTGTTGCTTGAAGGAGAAAGCATCAAATTACAATGCTGAGTTTTTCAACCAGCAGCCCTTCAAAAGTATTTCTAGTACCAGCAGATCCAGCCTTTATAGTCATTTGTTCTTGCCAAAGATGGCAAGAATTTTACAGGCTTTGTAAGCCTCACCCTCACATCGGGATATAGGGATTATGTATGGTGGGAGTTCAACTGCTGAGAAACTCTAAGCCACGGGTTAAAGATATCAACTGTAACTCATTCTCCCTCCTGTAGAAACTGAAATTCCTGAGGGCTAGGGTAAGCAATAGCCAGCATACTGCAGCAAGTTTGGAAATGACACCAGGTAGGTAACGTTTTCCAAAGCTTGCATGTGAATCGGGAACATCTCAGAGACTCCAGTGGAACATAGGTGTTCTTGAAGATCTTGCCCTATCCTGTTGGTTATTTGTGTTTTAGAGGACTCGACTCTGACAGAATCCAAGCGTGCAGAGCTCTGAGGAGGATGTAGCCCTTTGGGTCTATCAGGAAGCACGTCCTAGGGGAGGTGCAAAGCTAAGGCCGTAACCCTGGGCACATCAGCTTCTCAACAAGAAATATCAAACAAAGGCTGTGAGCAGTCGAAACTGAGATAGTTACTATAGAAATAAATGAGATAGCATCAGCTCAGTGAGATAGAAACTTTTTGCAATTTAGGGGAAATGGCAGAGGACTGCACAGTGAATTATGTGGAAGCTACGCAGCATGAACAAGTGAAGTTACTACTGGTTTTAATTCTACTGTACTGGTATTTTAAACATCAAAACCACTGAAGATACTTTTAAAATTACAAAAGGTAGGTTGCTGCGCTTCAGAGTCAACCCAAAGTTGGGGAAAGGTTTTGAGCAAATGCTCTGAAGGATAAATAAAACCTTGTGAGTTGTGTTTTGAAGCTTCAGTCAAATCAAAAGGTTACATTCTTAGAAGTGACTGCAAAAGTAACAGCAGGGCTCTGCTGACTGACAGTTCCAGGTCCAGCTGGCTCAGCCAGCCAGTCACCCATCATTTTCTGAATGAGCAACAGGGCTTATTGGTTTAATTAGTTTTTATACCCCTTCTGTGTATAGACTCTGCTGTTGACAATGTAACTCAGCGAATGGCAATGTTTTTGCATTAGGCAGAATAGACTCCGGCTCATTCACCCAGAACTTGTTTGTTCTGCGAGTGCAAAGAGGAAAGCAGAGCTATTTGTGCCGCTGAGAGACCTGATGTGATGCCACCCTCCTACCCCGTCCCCCCAGTAAATCTGGAGAATGAGCAGTCTGCTCCACTTTACAATGCCACTCAACGCTCATGGGATCAGATCCCTCTTGAGTTGCAACTTAAGTGTGAAACTGTTCAAAAATTCAGAAATTCAGTTCTTTTTCCTGCTGCTGTGGCAGAGAATGAATGGTATTAGCTGTTGCCCTGTAAAATGAGAATTTCTGGTGTTTTGTCTTGTCTTTCAGGAGATATCACGACGTGTGCGAGAGTTGCTGGAGATTGAAGAGCCACTCTTCAGCAGATCCATTGCCCTCCCATACAGAGACAACATGGGTCTCTTCCTGGAGCGAAAGTCCCGATCAGGAAAGAAAGCAGATGCTCTCACTTTCTCACAGTTTATCCAAGAAGCAGGACTGGAGCCTTATGCTACAGTTCCTCCTTTGCAACAAACCCAGACTGAGGTAGAAGCAGATGCTCTCACTGTATCGCAGAGCACCCAGAGGCAGGATTAGAGACTCACACTGTGCTTCCAGCTTTTAAGAAGCCCAGCAGGGTCAGCAGAATATACCTTTGTTACCTTGCACTTTGTCCAAGGAGGTACAGTTCCACTTTCTCCTAATACAGAAAAGGCCATTGCAGCTTTTAGCCATTTGATGATGTTTATCCTCACATTGGATCTTGTCTGCAATCCTTCATTTGCTTCCAGGAACAAAGTGAAGCAGAAGCTATAGATCAGACTGTACCACTGTCTGTCTTTCATTTCTGCTTCACAGTTGATTAAAAAGACCAAAAACCAATCACAGAATCACAGAACGTTAGGAGTTGGAAGGGACCTCAAAAACTCATCCAGTCCAACCCCTGTCAGAGCAGGATCACCAGACCAGGTCACACAGGAATGCGTCCAGGCGGGTTTTGAATGTCTGCAGAGAAGGAGACTCCACAACCTCTCTGGGCAGCCTGGGCCATGCTCTGCCACCCTCACACTCACAAAGCTTTTCCTTCTCTTCAGCTTGAACCTCCTGTGCTCCAGCTTGGGACCATTGCCCCTTGTCCTGACATTGGACATCCCAGAGCAGAGCCTGGCTCCTTCCTCCTGACACTGCCCTTTCCAAATGGATCCCCAGGAATGAGGGCACCCCTCAGTCTCCTCCAAAAAAAAGAGCCCCAGCTCCCTCAGCCGCTCCTCAGCAGGAGATGCTCCACTCCCTCCAGCATCTTTGTGGCCCTGCTGGACTCTTTCAAGCAGTTCCTGTCCTTCTTGAGCTGAGGGCCCAGCACTGGACACAAGATTGCAGCTGTGGTGTGAGCAGGGCAGAGCAGAGGGGCAGGAGAACCTCTCTGCCCTACAACCACCCCTTCTCATCCACCCCAGGGTGACGTTGGCCTTCTTGGCCACAAAGGGCACATTGCTGGCTCATGGTCATCTGTTCACCAACACCCCCAGGTCCCTTTCTGCTGTGCTACTCCCCAACCTGTACTGGTACATGGGGTTGTTCTTCCCCAGATGCAAGACCCTACACTTGCCCTTGTTGAATTTAATTAAATTTTTCCATTGCCAGTGACTGAGAACAACTTCCCCGCAGCTCAAGTGAGTAGATTTCTCCCAGGCTCTAATGTCTGCAGACTGGGCTCACTGTAAAGCCCAGCTGTAAGACCAATGGCATATACAATAACTGCTGTACAGGTGTGGTGCCAGCTGCTGTCAGCGATCATAATTAAGCAAGGGGCCTAGTTACAACACACACAACTAATCCCTGGCCTCACTGCAGTGGTTTATCATAGTAAACAGTACTGGAACACATGATGGATGACAGGAAGTATAAAAAAACCAGTGTAAGCTGAACTAGAGAATTTAGGGAATAAAAAATGCTTTGTCGTGGGTGGCTTTGGGACAGAATATCCAGTTACCTTCCTTTTTCTTGAAAGGAGTATCACATAGCCTGTGGTGGTAGTGGTGGGATGCATTATCACCAGCAAGGAAGTATGAATAAATGCTGATTAAAGCCTGGTTCAACAGAAAGA